ACCGATATCGCTTGCTCCCCATATTTGAGCAGGGTGATGGATCACATGATTCTGATATTCCATGGGAGACTTCCGCTTTATCATTCAAATCCAATAACAGAGTGGTAGAGTTCAAGACTCTTTTTTCAAAAATTGAAGGGACCGCTTTTCTGGGCTCTTGCCGATCATGGGCGCGCTTACGAGCCTCGGCCTGCCCATCCATTCAACAAAGACTGGAGGGAAGCATCCAAACTCAGCAAGCCATGAAATCGTCTGGTTTCGCGTCGCCGATGCAATCCTAGTGAGTGACCAATCCACTAGAAACCACAAAGGAAAACACTAGCCAGCCGAAGGATCCCTTATAAATGTGCGACGACACATCAAGACTTGCAGATTTGCTGTGCAATTGTATTATCATCATAGTTGAACAAAGACGAAAAGAAAAAGTGGTGAGACCATGGTTCAGAAAGTAGATGCAATTGAAACGGTCAAGAAAAACTTACCAGGAGAAATGAAGTGACGTCGTCGTCGTTGTCATGACAAAAATTGTCATTATGGGGTGAATTTCCATTGAGCTGTTTGATGGGTTGTTCGTGTGTTGTCGCACACTATTATCATCCTTCATCTTTTCAAAGTCGTACCAAGAATGTACTTTTTAAGGGATCGCTTTTCTGGGCTCTTGCCGATCATGGACGCGCTTACGAACCTCGGCCTGCCCATCCATTCAACAAAGACTGGAGGGAAGCATCCAAACTCAGCAAGCCATGAAATCGTCTGGTTTCGCGTTGCCGATGCAATCCTAGTGAGTGACCAATCCACTAGAAACCACAAAGGAAAACACTAGCCAGCCGAAGGATCCCTTATAAATGTGCGATGACACAACAAGACTTGCAGATTTGCTGTGCAATTGTATTATCATCATAGTTGAACAAAGAAGAAAAGAAAAAGTGGTGAGACCATGGTTCAGAAAGTAGATGCAATTGAAACGGTCAAGAAAAACTTACCAGGAGAAATGAAGTGACGTCGTCGTCGTTGTCATGACAAAAATTGTCATTATGGGGTGAATTTCCATTAAGCTGTTTGATGGGTTGTTCGTGTGTTGTCGCACACTATTATCATCCTTCATCTTTTCAAAGTTGTACCAAGAATGTACTTTTTAATTGGCACCGTTTCGTCGATTTGCCACTCGGCGACTGTATCGTCTTCCTTGTTCCGTCATGCCAGATCCCAAAGCTTCGGTGAAAGTATCCTCTGCATGTGGAATGAGAAGCTTGGCCCGTCGAAGGCTGTAGCGCTTTCCAGACTCGGTCCATCCCGATCCCATCCCATCAGGAGGAATATCAATAGTAGCTGCGATGTCAGAGTCCTCGGGCGGTGGTGCCGGAATGTCGTCATCGATGATAGTATCCTCCAAAGGATCCTCGGTAGAATCAATGCCGTCATCAATCAATCCAGCATCCAAAGACGATTCAATATCGCTAAAGTTGTCTTGTTCTTCTTCTTCTTCTGGATCTTCAAAAATGACAGGTAGCAAAGGAGTGAATCGTTCATTGATTTGTTTGGCCCATTCTGTAGCAGAAGTTGGAACCGAAGATGAATTCAATTTGCGACGCTTGGTGGGCCTGGATGCAACAAGGCAGTAAGTTGCGGTTCTCTTGAGTGACAGTTGTGGTGCTTCATCTTGCATGTCATTGGGCTCGACGTTGTCGTCATCATCCAAATCCATTGGTACGGGAATATTGGAGAGCATATCAGGAAGGACGGTTGTGCGAAGCATTTGGTGGTGATTCTCAAGCGCAAGTGCAAAGCTTGGACCTTCCGAATCAATGCCTTCATCAATTAATCCAGCATCTACAGACGAGTCAAAGTGGTTCTTGTCTTCTTCTTCTGGATCTTCAGTAATGACAGGAAGGGTAGGTTTGAAATCAATCTTTCGATTGACCTTTTTCTTGGCCTTTTTCTTGGCCTTCCTCTTGGCCTTCCTCTTGGCCATCACAGTACTCTGCAGCTGGGGAAGCACTCGTTCTTCAAAACACTTGCATAGTCCATGATATCTAATCTGACTGTAAATGTCTCGAATTCGATTCTTTCTGGATTGAATATCTTCCGGGTCTGGCATGAAGTTTCTTCTCTGATTGGTCAGGGTGAAACTGACACGATTGGTGGTTCTCGGTGATTTCCAATCTTTTCTTGCAGGACGAAGAATGGAAACAGGTGCTGTAGTTGGCGTAGATGTAGGTGGAGCGTGTTCCAGACTGTTGCAGTCTACATATTCCAGACTGTCCCAATCCTGTTCCTCGTCGTTCATGGGGAAGAAAACCTCGTCGTCTCCTTTGGCGAAGCTTGCAACGTCAGAGTCGCTGTTGTCATCAATCAATCCAGCATCCAAAGACAAGTCAAAAGTACTCATGATGATGTCTTCTTCTTCTGGATCTTCAATAATGACAGGTAGCAAAGGAGTGAATCGTTCATTGATTCGTTTGGCCCATTCTGTAGCAGAAGTTGGAACCGTAGATGAATTCAATTTGCGACGCTTGGTAGGCCGGGAGGAAACAAGGGAGCAAGTTGCAGTTCTCTTGAGTGACAATCGTGGTGCTTCGCCTTGCATGTCATTGGGCTCGACGTTGCCGTCATCATCCAAATCCATTGGTACGGGAATATTGGAGAGCATGTCATCAATGACGGTTCGAAGCAGTTGTCGGTGGTTCTCGAGCGCAATTGCAATGGTTTCAGAGTCGACATTGCCATCAATAAATCCAGTATCCAAAGACGAGTCAATGTCACTCAAATCTTCTTCTGCTGGATCTTCGATAATGGTGGCAAGCACGGTAGGTTTGAAATCGATCTTCCAGCGTTGGGCATTCCGTCTCTTGACCTTGCATTCAATTTGATGAATTAGCTGTCTTCGGGACTTCAGCTCTTCCTCGTCGGGAATGAAGTTTCTCCTTCGAGTCTTAGGGGCAAATTGGACTCTGTTTGATGAGGTTGGTTTGGGTGATCCCCAATCTTTTCTTGAAGGACGAAGAATGGACACAGGAGTATGTGGAACGAATCTCACTGTGTTCTCTATCTCTGGAATTACTTCGTCGTGAAGTTGAATGCGCCATTGAATCAGACCCCAGCATTCCCTGCGAGATTGTAGCTCTTGCTCGTTTGGGACAAAGGTTCGACGAAAGATTTTGGCGAAACGGACACGGTTTGGTTTTCTGGTGAACACACCAAACCAACTTCGGTTTTTCTTGCGATGAGACGACCCTCCTGGACGACGAAGAATGGAAACAGGAGGCTGTTGTCGGTTGCAGCTCCGTTGCTCGCAAAGTGCTTGATAGCTTCGGTATAGGTCGAGCGCCATGTACCAAACTAACAAGAGCGCCGTCGCACAAACCAAACCGGCTGCGATGGTTTCTCGAACGGTTTGAGTGACGATCAAAGGCATCCGAACAGGCAATCGAAAGAAGCTGATGCCTGCTTGAATGATGTATTCTTGATTGACGATGATGGTAGTGATGTAGTTGATGTAGTTGATAATAGTGTTGGTCATGTTGATGTTTGGTCTAGTTGGTGTATTGGTTGGTGTAAAGAATTTCATAATGTAAGTTGTGAGGTGTGTGTGTGAAAACAAAACGTTCAGCCTGAGCGGTTGGAGAAAAAGCGGTGTGTGTTCGCGGAGTCTCCACGCTTGACTCCTTCGAATCAATCTAGATGGCCCTACGCATACTATAGTACGAATAGTCATCCAAACATTCGAAGTATGATTGACATTGCTGTCTAGTAGGCATTCTTTCTTCATTTCTAATGTATATTACAGTAATTCATCAGGATTCATCTTCTTCCAATGGATCAATTGCACCATTCTCCATCAAGAACTGAGTAATGGGATGACTTTCTTTCAGGAACTGTCTGGCAATGCTCAAGGCCGTAGCTCCGTCATTCACCACACTGTTAATGTCTACTTCATAATCTATTAACAATTCAACAGCTTCCAAGTGACCCGCTTTCACTGCCAAGTGCAGTGCTTCCCATCCAAGGTCATCCTTGTCCTCGAGATCCTCGTTTGGATAGTTTTCAGCAATTGTCTCAAGGACCACCAAGTCTCCTACGTATGAATGACTACCTCGGACCGTTACGGCAAAGACAACACGATGCGAATAACATCATGTGCATCGAGGATGTTGGGCTTTGAAAGAGTTGTCAAACTGATGATTCGTATATGAAACAACACGGAAGCGGGATCGAAACGATACATAGTTGTTTGTAACTCAACGATTGGATGTAGCTCTCAAGTACACATGGTACAGGAGCGATCCGATCGTGGACCTGAGAAAGGATTCAGAAAGTAGAATTTATAATATTCTAATTTTATGTTATTGATGGATTGTACGCATTCAGTTGATCTAGGCATACATATAGCTTGAATTCTAACTGGTAGCTCCACATTCATGCAATTCTTCCTATTTTTATCCATTATATGCATTTTGAAATTTGCCAAATATACAGTACAGTAGTATCTGCATCAATAATATACAGCACTGCGAACTTGAAATGCTGGAAGTCAATCTGTACAATGACAAAAAGCGGTTGCTAGGAAGCGTGGTAGTTGGGGAAAGTGAACTCCCAGCTGGAGTCTCGAAAATCACGATTAATATGGCGAACGCGGTACCAATCCTCGATTCCAAGAACGAGTTACCAATAAGCCTGGATTCCAACCTCTCCTGAATCTTCTCAGGCGCTCCGAAGCAACACTAACGACAGTGACAATCAATGGAATTGAAAAAAATTCACCAGATTATTTGGCGTTTTTAGTATGGATTGCCTCCAAGACTCACACTTTAGAAATCAACAATTGCGCATTAGGCGATAGTGGATTTGCTTGCTTGATGTCAGGAATATTGTTGCCGAATGGTCTGTCGAAACTGGACTTGTATCTTGGCGTGAGTGCAGGTGCACAAAAAATCACAAGGCACCAATGGACTCTTTTGTTTGAAGCAGTTGCGTCATCTTCCTTGCTGAAGACGTTCTGGATGTATGCAGATTTTGAACATCGGGAAGAGATGGGCCATGTTCTTGCAGACACACTCAGGCGAAATCGAAGCGTGAAACGTTTTTCTCTCTTTACACCGACTTTTGAAAAAGAATCAACTGTTCTCCCAAATCTACTAAGGGCTGCTGTCTTGCAAAGAAAAGTGGAGGCCTTTCAACTTCGTCTATACGGAGAGTTTCAAGTGCTGTCACGGAACATTATGGCAGATGTTGTCTGCCGCCACGATTGCTCCCTTCGCACTCTTGCCCTGAACCGCGTATTGCCCGGTCCGGACGACAGCATAGATGGTACCATTGACGAGAGGAACTCGTCTGTAGAAGATTTGGAAATCATCGATGCTGGTTTGCAATGCACTGGGATCATGGAAACTGTTCGCCTATTCGACTCGTTGAAGCAGTTGAACCTATCAAACAACAGGATTTCTGATTTGGCACCTTTGAATGATTTCCTCCTTAGTAGAGAATCGACTTTAGAAGTATTGAGACTATGTGGAAATCACATCACAGAACAAGACTTCAAGATCTTTGTACAAGGGCTACCGAGAATGAGCTCCCTGAAAGTGTTGCTGGTAAAAAATAACCCCTTTACGGAATCTGAATCATGTCTGACCGCATTAAAAGATGCACTTTGGCTCAACACGAGCTTGGAGTATGTATCTTACCCTGTTTCTCCCCTGACGACCCTAGACAGCACGCACCTGGATTCGATGATTCAGCTTGCAACAAGCTTGAACCGAGGTGCGA